ATGGTCAGTGTTAGATAATGGTCAGTGTTAGATAATGAATGGTCAGTGTTAGATAATGGTCAGTGTTAGATAATGAATGGTCAGTGTTAGATAATGTATGGTCAGTGTTAGGTAATGTATGGTCAGTGTTAGATAATGTATGGTCAGTGTTAGATGATGAATGGTCAGTGTTAAATAATGTATGGTCAGTGTTAGATAATGTATGGTCAGTGTTAGATAATGTATGGTCAGTGTTAGATAATGGTCAGTGTTAGATAATAAATGGTCAGTGTTAGATAATGGTCAGTGTTAGATAATGGTCAGTGTTAGATAATGGTCAGTGTTAGATAATGAATGGTCAGTGGTGTATAATGTATGGTCAGTGTTCGATAATGAATGGTCAGTGGTGTATAATGTATGGTCAGTGTTAGATAATGAATGGTCAGTGTTAGATAATGTATGGTCAGTGTTAGATAATGTATGGTCAGTGTTAGATAATGTATGGTCAGTGTTAGATAATGGTCAGTGTTAGATAATGAATGGTCAGTGTTAGATAATGTATGGTCAGTATTAGATAATGGTCAGTGTTAGATAATGAATGGTCAGTGTTAGATAATGTATGGTCAGTATTAGATAATGGTCAGTGTTAGATAATGGTCAGTGTTAGATAATGGTCAGTGTTAGATAATGAATGGTCAGTGTTAGATAATGTATGGTCAGTATTAGATAATAAATGGTCAGTGCTAAACACGGGGCAGATGACGTAGAGTTCATCTGTTTCAGTGACTTCGACATATGAAGAGATAGTGTGGTCAGCACTTTGCCCAACCTCCAATACTTTCCCTAACGTAAGTTAGGTACCCATCAGAGCTGGGTGGCCCTAGGGACGTTTAACCCGGGATTCAAACTTGAGACTTTCGGGTTAGCACGGGTATGCCCTACCATGCAACCACACTGTTCCACAACACAGTTGTATGATCAGTACTAAACACAGTTGTGTTGTCAGTGCTGACCACAACACATTTTTTTTAAAATCAAAATGTAAAGAGCCCTTTTAATATTAAACGAATCCCTCCAAAGATGCCGCTTATCAAGTTATTAAAATGTAATAAAAATGTATTTATATACAATGCATGTAGTATCTGCATACAGTACCAGACAGAACATGAAAACAATGTCTCCGTCATCAACTTGTCATAGTGCCAATTAATTCACACAATTTTTCCTGAAATTTCCAACTTAACCAACGCATTCTATCATTTTTTTTTTAAATCTATTAAAAACTATTTTCTTATTTATTAGTGTTTCATCTACATAATTATGTATGTGAGGAGAGGTGTTGCTAGAAATATATATAATAATTTATTATAAGTTTTGTTTATATTTTTTAATTCACATTATTAATTATACAATAATTTATTAATTAAGAAAAATCGGAATGTTTTTTTAGCTTGTTGTAGAGCGCTTTATAATGTAATCGATGCAACTTTGTAGCTGGACTAATTTTAAACACAGCGATTACGATATCCATATAGAGAGGGACAACTACGGGTGCTGTAATAGTTTAAAAAAAATTCATTTAGATGAATTGGTGGGTGCAAAATGTAATTAGATATAATAATTATTTAAGAAATTGTTATTTTCTTAAAAAAAAAACAGCTGTTTAGAAATATCATTATTTTACAGACTTTATTTAAAGCACTGACTTTCAACATTTGGAAAATGTCAGTGTTTTGAATATATTTGAAAACCTGTCTATAAAAAAACTGACAACCAAAACTTTGAGTAGTATATCAATGGCCTTCAAATTATTTTGTAATTAACAAGCTATTTTAGTTCACCTAATTGATAACAAATGAACCCGCTTGATGACATGCTTCCCATAAACCCACCGACTTCCTGTTATGGCGGCACTCTGACCTTACACCTTAAATTTTAATTAGATCATTAGGCGAAAGGTCACTGACCTGGCTAAAAGTGACATTCTTCTTAGGGTCACCAAAAATTCTATCCGATCACCTGACACCCGTAATGCCTCACATACCTGGTAACCTAATCATCAGCTGCCACAGAACACGTGACTTTGTGGCCGCTTTTGATTGGGCGTTTACGGGTGGTGGCGCGTGGTGGCGCGTGCGGAACAAGACCAGGGATTGTGGGAAGGGTAGTCTAATAATAGCGTCAGTGATAGTGGCAGTGGCAGAAATTGTGACAGAGACAGTGGCAAAAACTGTGACAGTAACATGAAATGTGACAGAGACAGAGACAGGGACGGAGACAAAGACAGAAACAAAGAGAGTGACAGAAACTTAGAGACAGAGACTGTGACAGTATCTTATAAATTATATTCACTAGCTTGTCCATAACTTCATGTTGTGTGATCTAACCTATGTTGGCACTAAACAAAAACAATTCTACCTTATTTTACTCGTTGCCCAGAATGGGGGAGGGCGGGGGTTGCAGCGGCCCCGAACGCAGACACTAGGGAACGCCAAACGGGATAGAAAAAAATATTTAAAAGCTGCATTACTGAATTCTACATTGTCGAAGTTAAGGTAAAAATACTTCTTGGTTTAAAGACTGATTGAACTATTCTTCTACATTCATTTTAATCAATAGCAGGGACACTTGTTGAAAGCATTCCCAAATGTTTAAATAGGATTGGGAGGGTGGGGGTGGGGGGTGCGGAGATGCGGTTGACGATTTTTCGCTAACATGAATAACTATTTATAAACGAGGAGGATGTCAAAATTAATAGTAGGCCTCTTGGTCACCACACTTCTGTTGATGAACTGCAATTATGAGGGAGGGGGGGGGGGGGGATGATAGTTACCTTGACCCCAATTGTAGGCGTACATGTGTATTTTGTGTCATTAAAAAATCTCACACAACTTATCACTTGGTTGTGACGACTCGACGTGCACTGTTTGACAACAATGTCATCACTCATATGACAGTAAATTCAAACAAACTGACGTGTCAGAAGGTCTTTGCATTCAAATCATGGACACACTTAGACGCCACTTCACAGTGAGGAGAAGGGGGAGGGGGTAACACCAACTATAAAGTTCGAAAGTTTTAAAGATGATGTTTTGACGAGGAAATTTAATAACTTACTATAGTTAAACACAACGGGGGCGCTTCAACTGAGCAACTGATACCCTTTTCAGTTGAGTTAATTATAGTTCCATAATCAAGCAGAGGTTTTAACCTTTCTACATTGCTTGAACGGGGGGGGGGGGGGGGGGGGGGCAACTAGGGGTGACAACAAATAAAATAAAATAATCGCTTATTTGACGGAGTAAACTATGCTTCATGCACAGAGTACTATTATGATACATTGTGTACACTTTGACGCAATACGACACAAAAATATGGGGGTAGATGGGGTGACACCAATTCAAAGGCTACACATTTTACACAGAAGACAGTACCTATCGTATTGTCTGCAGAAATCGTAATCATTATTTATCTATTGTATTTGTTGGATTACAAGAAATGTTTAAATTCGATACTTGTATAGAAATGTAAAACTTCGTTAGCTGGCAGATAATTATTTAAACCACAGCGAGCGAAATTTCGCTTTGGGTTTTGTAAATAGTCGGTTCATTTATCGTTTTCTTAATTTCCCAATTTAACTAACATTTTTTGCGAAACCGTGAGTGATTTTGTCTGAAAAAACAACGTTTTTGCTATGTGTACCTTACCTCAGTAATAACCTACTTATAAGTAAGACGTTTTACAGTTCACAATAACATTTTTATTTATTGTTTTTACTGTTATTAACCCTTCTTTGAGAGTAATGCGTTGGTACTTTGCTCAGAATATGTGTAACAAGTCTAGTGTTTAACATCTAAATGAAAGATATCCGTCCAAAAAACAAAACAAAAAAAAACTACACAACGAATAAGTTGACTTTAAATGTTCCCGTAACTGCTTTTACTTCTAATGTTCTCCTTCGCTTTTCTCCTCTAGCGTTTTGTTTTGGAAAAAATATCGAGAACAGTTTCTAATTTTGAAATACGAAGTCTCCAGTGGGTTTAATAGATGGAGACGTCCTACAGCTAATTAATATTGAATTAATGTGCATATAATTAAGAAACTGGAGTAGCAGTTCAGCCAAAGTATGTCTGGCTGAAATCATTTTAATTCATACAGAAAAAACCACACGAGTATATATATATATATATATATATATATATATATATATATATATATATATATATATATATATATACAAATGCATGTATGTATGAATGTATACACTATGTGCTGAAATGAAGGAGGGGGGGGGGGGGGGTGGGACCTGAGTTATTGCCCCTGATGACCTCCGTCCAACCCAGTAAATCCACTGGGCGCCGAGCACATGTTTTATTGTATACAACAAGATATGGCCTTGATATTCCATGCTTTGTTGTATAATCTACATAAGACCTTGGTATTGTAGGTTTTATTGTATACAACAAGATATGACCTTGACATTTAAGATTTATATACAACAAGATATGACCTTGACCTTCCAGGTTTTGTTGTATACACCTAGATATGACCTTGACATTTCAGGTTCTGTTGTATACACCTAGATATGACCTTGACATTCCAGGTTTTGTTGTATACACCTAGATATGACCTTGACATTCCAGGTTTTGTTATATACACCTAGATATGACCTTGACATTTCAGGTTCTGCTGTCCCCCGACATGCCCCCGCTTTAAGAAGCCTCTGATCCGGCGTAATGAGTACACCAGTTCTCTAACGTGAGTACCTAGGTGTCTCTAACACGTGCGTCCTTTCTTTTCAAACCGTTTTTTTTATTTAAGTAAGTAAATGCTATAGGATAATTACAAAAATATGCAATGAATATTTATTTGATAGATACTTGATAGATTGATAACCTCATTGGGACATTATTTGATTAATTACCTTATTAGGACATCGTTTGTTTAATCTCTCATTAGGACATTATTTGATTAATTACCTCACTAAGACGTGGTTAAATGGAACAAATTTGTTCTTCCTG